AGTTTTAGTTAACTCTCGTTTAAAGAGGGATCTTGTGATAAGTTTCCGTCTAGAACTTTCCACGAAAAAATAATATAGGTTAGAGAGGTGATTGAGATTCCTTAACATGAGTTAAGGAAGAGATTGTAGAGTAAGCTCTGTATGTAATTACTATATCATGTTATGGGAGTAATAATATAGCTTAGACAGGTGATTGAGATTCTTTAACATGAGTTAAGAAAGACATTGTAGAGTTAGCTCTGTATCATATTACTATATCATGTTATGGGAGTAATAATATAACTTAAACATGTGACTAAGATTTCTTAACATGTGTTAAGAAAGACATTGTAGAATTAGCTCTGTGTGTTATTACTATATCATATTATGGGAGTAATAATATAGCTTAGACGGGTGAGTGAGATTCTTTAACATGAGTTGAGGAAGAGATTGTAGAGTTAGCTCTGTATGTTATTACTCTATTCTGTTATGGGAGTAATAATATAGGTTAGAGAAGTGACTGATATTGCTTAACACAAGTTAAGATGAGATTGTTGAGTTATCTATGTAAATTATTACTCTATCCTGTTATGGATACGACTTAGTTCTATTTAACTCTTGTTTAAAGAGGGGCATTTTGTCAAGGTTCCATTTAGATTTTTCCGCTGAGTAATAATATAGGTTAGAGAGGTTACTGTGACTTTTTAATGCGAGGTAAGGAGAAATTGTTGAGATTAACTCCGGTTAAAGAATTAACTGAGGTTAACCGCATATATAGCTATTTATAGCGTAGAGTGATTGTCTACCTTGAATATATATACCCTAAGGATGGTAAGGAGTTTCTCATTTCAAGTTATAAATTCTCTCAAGTGTATTACTCCGTGGACGTAGCCCCTGAGGTTCAACCACGTTATACGTGTATCTTCTGTGTTTATCATGTTATTGGTTTGGTCAGTTCGAGATTCTACCGTAAGATTTGTACTTGCATAGATGTAAATATTTTATATGATGTTTATACATAATCAAATATCATATAAGTTTTTTTTCAAATTGATTTAATCAATCTTATAGATTTTATAAAAATATAATATAGAAAAATTACATATATATATATAATTTTTTTCAAAATAGCTTATATTTTAGAATGTAGATTAAAGCATATAAAAATATAATGAATGTTGTAATGTTATCATGATTGTTTTAATTTCATCAAATCACAATGCATCCATATTTAAAAAATATATATATTTGTATTAAAATATCAAAAATATTACGTATAAGTTTTTATAATATAAATTCTCATAAAAATATATGCATCATATTTTGAAAAAAATCACGTTATTGAAGGTTTTTATAAAAAAAAGTTCATTTTTTATATCTTCATAAATTAAAGTCAAGAATTTGTTTCAAATCTAATTATGCACCATATTTTTTGAATGCATTCAAAATCATATTGCGGAATTTTGCATGATTTCAAAGGGCTCAGGGTTTCATGTTTGTAGGTTTTCAAACGTTAAAAACATATGAGAAACATAATTTTTTTGATATTTTTTTATCTTATGTTGCTACGGTGTCTGTGCGCGGGTCGGAACAGCCTAGTAGAATCTAGGATTGCATCTCATTTGAGTAATTTCAGTCATTTAGCAAATGCATACTTGTGGTAGAGTGATGAATTCTCTCACCAGGTGCAAGGAAAGATCTCACTGGATCACTTTAGCAAGCTTCCAGCTTTCATTAAGTTTTAAGGTTGCTAGGGCGGAATGCAAGCATCGCAAATCATCTATCTCTAAGACTTCGTCAAACATGAAAACTCATCTTGCTAATGGTAACCACTATTTGTGCTTTGTTGGTGCACCATCGTCCATCATTTTTCACATGACTATGAAACAAATAAAAGATGTTTGAAATAAAAATTGTCTTTATTTCAGATTTTTTTAAGACGTTTTAAATGTATCAATATTTTTTTCAAGAAAAAACGTATGCTACCAAAACTATATTACAAAAACTTGTGAAAATTAGAAATAAATGAAGTAAAAGTTCAAGTTTCATTTTGTCAAAGAAATAGTGTGATAATATACTATGTATAAAAAATGTCTACACAAAGTTCTTTTCACAAGTTTTCATTCTACTTTAGATAATTCTCTATTACAAGTTGTTGCATAGACATGAGAATTATGTGATTGGTTTGTTTTCTGACTCTTTCATCCAAAGAGTAGTATTCAAATCTTTTTCGGTGAGCACTAATATTATTACTTTAGTTATAATGACATAATATAATGACATAGATTCATGTCATAATGACATGAAATTGAACTCAAATTATAAGATCAATAAGTCTATGTTTTTCTACACCTATTAAACTCCTATGTATCAACTAGAAGTCATACTACAAAAAGTTATGATACTTGTTCAGATAAATGTATAGTAAATAGTATATCAAGCAGAGTAAAGTCCTTGATATGATGGTAAATTATTGAGCTATATTCATAATGCTTTTTCGACTTCAAATCATGTGTAAATTGAAATAATAATTTATTTATCAAGCACACATTAATTGAAACTTTGTCACCAAAAATTTTCAGGCATTCATGAATAATAAGTAAAATAGGAAGGTAATAGGTAAAATTCACAAACTATTTCATAAAATAGATCATCAAGATTAATATTTAACAAAATTTTCAAAAAAATGTATTGCATCCAAAGAATCAAACTTTATGTTAATAAGTTCAGCATACGAAATATATTTTAATATTCCAAGCTGATTATAGAAAAATAAATATACATCAAAATATAAAAGTCTTGAATTTGAATAAAAGTAATGGAAATTTTTTCTGAAAGAAGTGCAAATTTATATTATAAAAATTAACTCTAAAAATCTACCTAAAATTATTATATCTATAAGAAGTTAAAAGTTGGATTAAAGGTAAACAAAATCCAATTTATGTACAGTTTGAAATTTTATTCGTAAATAGATCAATTTTACCAAACTCATAAAAATGATTTTTTTTTAAGTTATTATTTGGTGTAAATGGGGCTTTGATATTTATATGAATGATACTCAAGTTTTTAATGATAAAAGCTCATCTACCTTTGTTATCTTGAATAAGTAAAAATACATGAGTTATCTGTTTAGTTCTTTATTTTGATCATATAATTATTATGCAAATATGTATTGCAATACACTCTACAATGCTGACATGCTATAGAGTTTAGAGTTACTCACACACCTACATGGTACATGAGAACATGTCACAATTCATCCCCCAAGTTCAACCCATTCATTGAAGAATATAGATTGACGGGCTTCGTAGCCAACTCACTAAAGACTATTCCCAAAGTTGTAGGCTCAACTCAAAGAATATAACGCTATTGGAGTGACACTCGAATATATAACTTTCAATCCTAACCCGACGCTAAAAATAACAAATACAAAAATACATGAAATAATATCTTAGTTGTTTGATCACAGTCAAGTTGCAAATACAAGTGTTTAGACAGGTTTTGATTATACAAAACATGAGGTAGAAAGCTAGATGCCTGCATCATCCACTTGATCAACTAGTACCTTAAAATTTAAGAAATTTTACATGAAAGCGTTCACTTTTATAATAACTCATTCACTTGGAATGATTATTTATTCAACTTGAGTATTTGATTTATATTTGTTTACGTTGTTGGAAAGTCACATGATTTAAATAATTTGATCGAATGAGAAGCAAATTTTAGAAAAATTATCCAAATAGTACACGTGAACTGAATTGTCCAAGTCTTGTCTTCATTTCATTTTTTTTCTCAAATATTGCAAAAAACGATGCATGTAGTTAATTATGATACCATAAGGCCTTATGCGAGGACTGTTGCGGGAGACATAATATTTCGTGCACTTATATTTCTACGGCCGGATCACAGGGCAAGAAAAGTCCACATCCCAAGTCCGTATCGTCGATCGTCCCATCCGTATCGTCGATTGAAGTGTCCAGGTTCTCATGTTCATTAGGAGAAAAGCACAGGAAGAAGATACGTTCGAACTTTAATGGAACCTACACTTGGTACTTCTGATCAGTTCTACATTGATTTTATGCTTAGTTGAGTACTTAATGGAGATGGCAATAAATCATCGTGTGGAGATCCAATTCAGGCAACATCGTACACAGATGACGTCAGATTTGTCAAAGAGTTCCATCAAGGTAGTGAATTCGGAGGAGTCACACCGCCTGCCACACAAACTACATGTGCCAATTTATCAGAAATTTGTATTGAAATTTTAGCTAAATTGACTGTTATATTCAAAACCATAATAGGTTTTGAATATAACATGTTTCAATCAATGCTTCACCCAGGTCATGGAAATTATAAAAAATTCTGATACCCATTGTAGAAAGGGGTAATTGGTTTTGCGATAGTGAAGTGTGACAGTTCTTAGTCACAGATCTTCTCAGTTCCAAAGGCAGGAACGACACCCTTCCAACTGTTCAACTGGGTACAAACCTAACATGAAGAGTTTAATCCAGTAAAATGCAGTTTGAGCTGAAGGCAGATTGAGCTCCTTCGATACGATTCCTACGAGACGGAGAGCTTCACATATGTGAATATCTGATCGAAAGTGGATCGATGGGCAGTGTTGCCATGCAAAGGAAACTTAAGGATTAAGATTGCCATGCAACGTCGCAGAGGTTAAACTAGAGGTTTGCACTAAATAGAATGAAGTTGGATGTGGCGGATGCATGCGGAAGGTTTAGGTGATTTCTAAATAAAAATAGAGCTGGATGTGGCAAATTCCGCCTTCTTTTCGCCTTCTAATGTCCAAATGCAGGAAACTCAGGCAATCTGATCGACCGGCCCTTTTCCTTGAGGACGAGAGAATTGTATTATTTCCGAGGCGGTCGGCTTGCAGAATGACAAGCAAGCAAACAAGAAGTGCGAATGAAGCCAATATAACGAGGTCCATCTGGCGAAAATCTCTACTGCTCTTGATCTATATAAGTAAACGATCCTTGTAGAGATAATGTATACCAAGCTCTCTACATCACACCCGTACTCATCTAAGTCTCTTGCAACACTCAGATTGGTTCTCGTCTGGCTATCGCACGAAGATCCCGTTAGTTCTCTCGAATCATGTCTCCAGTCCAAGCAAAAGCTGCCGATCATCGAGGGGGATTTAAGAAAGCATGGCTCGTTCTCCTCTTCTTGGTCTTTCTGACCCTGCTACACGTTTCGTCTACGAACGCTGTCGCTGCTGCAGGTCAGTACCTGAACTCGCATCCCTCGCTTGTGAGATCCAGGCACATCCTGCAAAAGACTTCCTCCTGTCATGGGATTCACATTCGTCCCCTCCATCGTTGACCTTCCCCTCTGTAGATCTATGTCGCCCTTTCTATATATGTCAACGTAGCTGTCATTCCGCAGAACGTCCGTTTGCATGCATGCATAATTGTCCTCGTGTTCTGCTCCTGCTCTCGATGGTCTCAACAGATATTTGACATCTGACCTGAGCTATCCTTTCATTTCATCAGATCCAATCTGTATCAGCACGCAGTCTGTCGATTGTTAGCCTACGTTGTACCTCTAATAATCGGTAGAAGATGGCTTAAACCCTCTAATATCGAATGGATTCACGGCATTGACATTCGATGAGATTTGTTCCTTGCATGAGGAATGGAGATTTCGGAAGAGGGAGAGGGAATGTCTGTTGGATGTTTGAGAATGTTTGAGTAGTGGATTGGGATATGACATTTCGAATTCTGCAGATACAACCGAAGCGGCAGCAGCGCATGATGTACAATCGCAAGTAGATGCTACGAGCAGCGACGTTGACACCGCGGAACTCGACGAAGATGAGAAATTTTTCCGCCACCATCATCACCCCCACTGGCCCTTCGAAACTGAGGAAGAGAAGGAGAAGAAGCACCACGGACACAAGGGCAAGGGGAAGAAGCACGACGGGCATAAGGGCAAGGGAAAGGGCAAGGGAGGTGGCCGCAAGGGGGGTGGCCACAAGGGGAAGAAGCATCTTTAAATCAATGGCGACCGCAATGCTCGTCGACAATAATGTATCCTTGCTGTTGCCGTGGGTTTTGATCAAATCCGGACACTGTCGGCTCTAGAGGATAGGCTGAGGCCATGCATTAGTGAGAGTAGAATCTTGACAAAAGCATGTACAATCTATTCGGTCAATCGACGAATACGTGCGCGTGCATTCAATTCATAATAATTCCAGGATGGAATCAAACTATGCACTCGTGTACTTGACTCGACCTGTCTGCCCTTCATGACTTAAACTACAGCCATCTAGTATCTACGATGGTTGCTTGAGGTCGACTCTCTGATGTGTATATTCTCGAATTTTCTATCATTTGACATTGACCTGTAATTGACCGCGTCATACTTGCATTCATGAGTTCGTACGTGTCATTCGCATAAAAGTGATCAGAACTTGTCGTTTGCTCGTACTCGAACTTAGAATTGCTAAATTTGATACAGACACACAGAATTCTCGATAACCCCAGACTTATGGATCATCCCATACTCCGGGCGAGGAATGGGAGAACCGAACTCAACTATACTACGTGGTTAGTTCTGTAGCATATTTCACTTCAGATAATCTAGTACAGAGTGTTCAACGTGAAGAAACATTTGCCAGAACACTCTCACCCTCCCTCTCTCTCCTAATCCTTGGCGTACTAGGCTTGAAATTGATTTGACCTGGCGTGGGCCAATGCATCTATTTCTGCAACTGCATTCCCACTCTACATTTGGCGCTAGTAGTTGAAAAGTTTCTGATGTTAATCGAAGACTCCGGGCCTGTCATAATGCTCCTCTAGTTTTCTGAAACTGCGATGTGAACCGCTGCAATTCCTCCACCCTCTTCTGTAGTTTGTTGTTGAATTATGTTTCTGCATGCATGTAGGTACAGATTGTAGCTCGTCATGGACTATGCGGAGGACTTGTACTTACTAATAGTAATTGCTTTATTACTTGCTCTCTTCTTACAATTCAAGGAACAAATCACTTTGCTACACGCACTGGTGAAATTATTCAACTTCATGACTTCACTTTGTCTCACATCCAGCATAGTAGTTTGTTTGCCCTCGGCCTTCACAAATAAAACAAATATAATAATTGAAAAATGCTTTTGGAATTTCGTTTTATTTCATTTTTCAAGGTCATTTGCTTGTAATAGTTGCCCGACACATCTAATCATCTCATCAGAGCAGTAAATGTATACCATTAAAATAAAATACTTACTAGACTTTGTGGTAAAGTGAGGAAGATTAAAAATTAAGTAAAGTATTACTATATATTTGATAGCGGAAAATCGACTTGTAAACTGGGTGTATTTTTTGATTCGATAAGTACGAACTGTTTCTAGTGTTTGGATTTGGATTTGTACATATTTGAGTACATTATCAATTATCAATTACCAATGATCAAAAATGATTTACAGAAATTTCATCAGCTCATAAACCTCTAAAGTTATCAAATTTCTGTAACTTCTAATTATTTACAAGCACGAAATCTTTCGAGACATATAAGCTACGGATTTTCATAATCAAAATAACCAAACAAAATTTGTCAATTCATTTTTTCACAAGCATTATATTATGAAATTAGACACGTTCATATCAACAAAATATTTGACATAAATTCACATGAATTGAAATTTTATTTTTTTCTCAATCAAAATTCACATTGTATATAGTCTGTAATATATTCTTATAAGTTTTATACTTTTTTTCATTTTCGGTAAAGTTCTGTTCTTGATACTTTATTCATCAATGAAAACATATTGATATAATATGTACATACTTTGAGAAATAAAATTTATAGGTAATAATCTAAATATTTCTCACATTGTAATATGTTCAAGGAGACTTAAAAAAAAAAGAGATTAGTAATGTCTTGGTTCTTTTACGAAGTTTATAACAAGTGAGAGATTAGTTCTTGAATCAAACGGTTTTATATATAACAAAACCTTTTTTAAGTTCTTTTTTAAAGTCCTACGTGATTCAATTACACATGAGGTAAACTATATAATAGAAACTTCACTATCCAAGTTGTCGACTATCTCTCTCCATCAGTTGTACATGTGAAATTGAATAAACGTGTGTTCATACTAGGGCTAAGTGCGCAAGCTACAAATCCAAACTGAATACTGAACTATCCATAACTAGAGACAATGTCTAATTACTATTAACAAGACACAAGTTAACCTTACACTTTAGATACATGTGTTATTGAAAGTTTTAAAATTATAAATATCATACCAACGATAAATTATTTTTACTTTTAATCAGTCAATATTTTGAATATGAATTACTATAATATAAAAAAATGTATAACCTACAGAAATTTTTGTTTACTTTTGATTGATCAAATTTTTTATTTTTATAATATCAGTTTTTTTTCTTTTTTTATTACAAAAATCTAATAACTCTAACAAGTTTATTTTCATCAGTTATTATAAGTTATTGTAGATGAAATAAAATAATAAAATTTTATTATTATGAATATGTCAATAAGAAAAACTATATTATATAACAACATTAAGATTAGAATTTTTCTTTCCAATGAATTTCCAAAAAATAACTTGAAAAAATTTGAACACTCTTTCAAGCGTAATAAGGAAAACTATTGCATAAATTCAAAAGTTAAGACTCTAAAATGAACCAAAAACTTCACTATGAAAAACAAGAGAGATGGTATGCTCTGCAGCTTATGGGAATGAGAGCGTTTTCAACTTCGTACTACATGAATAATTCACGATTACATCATTAATAATTTTGAATGTTACACGGTAAAGTTTCAGTTTCAGATACTCAATCACATCTTCAATTATACACGTGAATATACTAAAGCTTTACATGCGACAAGGATATATTCACACATGCCATTAAATATATGAAATTTTTAATGATTCATGATGATAAATATGTGACATGAATGTTAAGGGAGATTTATACTTAGATTAAAATATTATCATACTCGTTAACGGCATCCTTCAAGATTTCAAATCTATTGTCATGCAGAGAGGTCAACATGTTTCCCCTTTTGATACTAATGGAATTAAACTCGTGAAGTAGTAGTGTGCAAAAGCATATTACACTAGATGGCATAACACATGATAAATTGATACTGTATATTTTGTAATTTAATTTGGCCTTAAATGTACTCTTATCCATTCTTATACGTAGTAGTGTGATCATTTTGAATCTCCCTGCTATTTACAAAGGAATGGTTAGTTAATTAGCCCTCACCCTATTATTGTTTATAAATTATTTTAGAAAACTGCTAATTAGCCCTCAGGTCATGACTGTTTACAAATTGTTTTAGAGAGTAGTTAGTTATACCTCATTTAACGCTAATTATCCTTCACGCTAACATATATCTTGACTGGTCGAGACCATGCAAAGATAGATGCGAGAATAGTGAAACGGGGAAAAGTAGTATTAAAAATGGGAAGATTAACCTAGAGTGAAAGATAATTAGCTCCCTTGTTATATGCACATAGTTACAATAAATGAAACATGTTGAGCCGTATTCCTTTCAGAACACTAACAATCCTGAAATCCATTGGCCCCGTCGAGATTGAGCAGGAGGAAAATATGGTGCCGCGTCAACACACTTGGGAATGGCAAGACTTGGAGCGAGGCACGGGAATTCGATTGCATTTGTCGATTGGAGTGACAGATGAGGCAGCATGGTGCTCTTGCGCAACCTCGGTCTGTCGTCGCTCACGCCGTCCGTGCTGGAGCTCTTTGCCGCGCAGGGCATCCTTACAGGTCGGTCGCTTCCCTTGGCAATTTCCCCGCGAGGAAAATTGCACTGCACTGGATCATGCTCCGTGGAATTCTCTCATTCATTTGACTTGACATTGCTGCGGAGGTCACGTATTCTCCGACTACCTGTTCTCGCCATTCTCCTCGACATGTTCGTTCACTGATCTCGATAGGGCCCGGCTGTCGGTAACGGGAGCATCTCTTTGCTGGTCTAGCTTTCGTTTGACAAATTTGGCTTTGACGCAGCGGAGGATTTTGTCGCGCACGAGCTACACAAGGTATCCGCGGCAGCAGGGCAAAGGTCTGAATCGTCCGAGTTCAAGGAGGTCGGTATCGTCAGGAATGTGCTGGACCAGGCCAGATTTTATTTGAGCTTCAACCGGGTAGTCGAAAGTTTCATCTTCCAGAAATTGCTCAGACGTTTCCCTTTGGGAGTTCCATGTTCGTACGCGTCATGAATCGGAAAATTGATGTCCACCTACTAGGGGACTGTGATCACATTTTCACGGCCTGAAATCTGGTGGCATCGTCAGGCTGTCGCTGAGCTTTTGTCCTACCTCGAGAACCGGCAAGGTGGTTGGTGCAATGGTTTTGAGCTCTCTCAGAAAGAAGTTCGTTACCTTCCTCTGGGTTGTGAAAGGTACGCGTCCCATTTACCAGCGGAAAATCTTGGCATCTGGTGATTTGATGAGAATTCTGGTCTACCTGAGCTAAGGAAATTAGGAATTTTTTCGGACGGATGACGCACTCTGGTATATATGTAATGCAGCATCGACAATCTGCTCCGTGGAGGGATGCAGGAGGGAACAATAACAGAGCTGGTGGGCGTATCATCAACCGGTAAAACTCAAGTACGGCCTTTGTCTGGATCGGCCATTGGTTTATGTGCAGGTCCATCTAGAGAAACGAAAGGTGCTTTTGATCGTGATACAACTTTTTGCTCAACGATTGGGTGTCCAAAGTGAAGCTTACTTCATCGATGTTCTGATATTTTCCTAGTCCACTGACATCGTCACGTTGCCGGTGCTGTAGATGTGCATGCAGGCTGCCGCACATGCTGCATACAAGCTCCGTTGCTCCGTCATATACATAGACACCTGCGGAGCATTTTCTGCGCAGCGTATCGCGCACATGTTGGGTGGGATGCTAGGATCTCTGGTCCAAGTCGAGGTAAGTATCAACAGTACGAATAGTAAATCTCCTCACTTTTGGGAAGTATTTTGTACGAGATGGAACCAACGTAAATGTATGAAACAGATTCACATCAGTTGATTCGTCACTTCACGGGCGCATATGCTTTCCTTTACCCAGGAACAACGGGATGGCCTGACCCTCGCCATGAAAAGCATCCAAAGGCGTGCATATTTCGATATCTTCTCAGTGCTGGCTTTTCTTCAAGACCTCCACACCACTTTGCAAGCTTGCGCAGAGGTAAAAGGGATGCTTCTTTCAAGTCGCCCCTTTAATTTGATTTCTAATTTCAAAGAATCTGAATCTGTCCCTACCTTGATGTAACCTACGAATCCTTTCGTACCCTTGAACAGCATTCCAGCCTTCGGCTTTTGATAATTGACTCCATTTCATCGGTTATTTCTCCCGTCCTTGGAGGCAACCATTCGCAAGGTAATGATGATCCAACGTTTCGTTTCCAACTCTGAAAACCTTATGTACGACATTTTATAACGGTAACCAGGAGACTCTCGCATTGTTATCTTTGTTCCTTGGGACCTATTATGTGCACTAGTAGCAGTCTATAGTTCTTGATGGGAGATACAAATGCAGGTCATGCATTGATGATCAGTGTGGGTCAGATTCTAAAGAAGCTGGCAACAACATATAAACTGGCGGTGTTGGTAAGTTTGCTCTGGTTCTTACTCACTATTTGCTATGTTTTGAATGTTTCTTCCTCAAATAATGGCAATAAGAAGCCTCAACTCAGCTTGTAATGAGGCTTTGTAGTAACTTTGAATTTCCAACTTCCGGGTGGATCACAAAATCGGCTGTGTCTATATCAATTTCCAGATCACAAATCACACTGTAGCCGGAGATGGAGGTCAGCCAAAGCCAGCCTTAGGAGGAAGTTGGAAGTCCGTACCTCATACCAGACTCATGCTGAGCCATGACTCCTCAAATGATGTCTACACAATCTCCTCTCTGAAACACACGTCTCTGGTAATATTTCTGCAATTGAAAACCGGACCGCCTGTTATTGTAAAGTGGAATGTGCTCTGTATTGTGTTAGTTATTCCTCCTTGTAATTTGTCGTTCTGTTTACTTGCCAGCACGTCAAATCGTCCTTTACTGTTAGTAATATATTTTTGCACTTGACTGAATCTGAGTACTTCCGGAATATGTTGCACACTTTTTGCAGTCATGTACCAAACAAGCAGCTTTCCGTGTCGGTAGAGCTGGTCTTGACTCTGTAGTTGGTGCAAGGAGAATATCTGAGTGACTAGGAAAAATGGTGGGTAATAGGGCAACGCGACAAAGGAAGATTCTAGGATCAACGAGGATATTATTCTGAAGCCTTCGACAATCCAAGGCACCTTCGCTCTGCGCTATGAACTAGGTTAGAAGGGAACTCAAATCTTCTGGATGGATTGCGCAAGTTGACGGAGAACAGAAGAAGAGCAAAGAAATGGTTCAAGAAAGAATGTCAGAGTCTGAATTTCCAGTTCTAGTTAGATGTATACTAAATTAAAACATATGATCGAGAACTGCTAGTAACTACGCTGTAGTCATCCGTAAACTAACGAATGGATTACTTTTCATTATAGTCATACAAATTTAGCACGCGGTAACGCACCTATGATGCTCGGGGAACAATTATCAGGAGTCCCATTATATCATCCAGAACAGGCTTCACTAGAAGGGGGAGTCAAAATGTCATTTGCAACCAAAACTTTGGTTCTCAATCAGGCATCAACTCCGTTTTTATTTGCATGTCCAAGACGTGTACAATTAGTACGAAATTTGCTAAATAAAGGTGTGTTTGAGTTAGTTAGTCTTGACAAGGTTAGGAATACTTGCCAATGTCGGAAGAATGCCCACCATGAGAGTACACATGAGAAGAATAACAGATACGTTATAGGCACAACACGTGGACACCCCCGAATAGAAACTGATGTTCCTACGAAGATACATTCAGTACATATGGGTGCACTTGTGACGACACACCTCACAGAGGTAATCTCTACAATACCGTCCCTGTATTGCACCGGGGGCTTCATCTTGTGGTCCACTGATGACACAATCTCTTCTGTACCTGGCTGAACAATCTAAATGATTTCTAAACAACGAATTCTAAAGTAGGTTGTGAACCATTCTAACTAGGGCAAATGTGCTGAATGTCAATCCTCTTGCTTAAGTTTCAATTTAGATTTCCCCTCTTCTGAGTGAATTTGCAACTTTTCATATTTGCATATGTCGCAGTGGTCTAAGCAGACCGCAGAACATCCTCATGCCGTCCTACATCTTAAAAGGAGTCCTGAAAGAAAGCTGTAAAGGCGCCGACTCGAAGAAGTATTTATTCTTCTTAAGGGCCTTGACCACTTACTGATTTTATCATTGTACACAGCGTCAGGCCTGACCCTAGTGGTGGCTCTGACAGATTTTTCTTTCCATAAACTGTCCTGTCAATGAGGACTTCTTGCCTAACCATGGAGAACTGTATATTTCACAATGTGTGAGGGACATACAGATTGTCTTGACTGTCATGACCTCTGGCTCTCGAACGCAAGCTTGCCGCCTCATCTCTCCATCTTCTCTTCGGGGCAACCAATCCAGAGGAAGTTCTTATAAGTTGGTCAGTTGCCAGCTGCGATTCACAACACAACATGGAGCATGATCAGCTTCTTCGCAAACCGGCTTGAGTTTCAACTATAGATAAAGCACTCATGCTACCTTCACCTAAGTTAGAGCTTAATTTAGCGGCTCTTTCTAAAAGCGAAAAATGTAAGTAAAAAATATTTCCAGGATAAGCTTCCCTTCCTAGTGGTCTTCTTAATAGAAGGGAATATTTTCCATAAGCATTGCTTCCACCTTGAAACCACAAACTTTCTATGATGAAAACTTAAAAGCCTCAGATTATCAAGAGAAAGCATCTTGAAAGAGCTTACGTGGTGAATCGGGGTTGTCAACGTGGACGTAGAAGCTTGCCCCCACGATAAGGTAGCATAAAATCAGCATCAACCCCTTGAAGTAATTGGATGTTCCTTCCTGTGATTCATCAACCAGCAGAATGTGACTTGATTGGTCATGATTCCTCTACCCACATGGAACCGTGTGGGACCCTCATTTTGTGTCCTATCATTGATTTCATTATATGCTTGAAGATTTTCGAGATTCGAGACCATGAGGACAGGTTGACACAACAAATGACTTGATAGTACGAACCTGCAACATAAATGCAACGACTAGCACGGTGATGAATAGTGTTGCTGTTTCATAGAGCTGAAAATTCAAGTCCATATCTTTGCCCATGATCCAACCAATGACGACACAGAACGGAATCTGCACACGAGCATCACGTCAGAATTTGAATACTTCCTTTGAGGGAGGCTTCAAGATACACAACTTTCAAATTTTACAAGCTAGTGTAATGTTCATGGAGAAACAAATACATGGGTTCAAAAGTTCTTTAGTACGCAAGGAAAACGATATAAACTCTGTTCGGTTACTCTGTATATTATGGACAACTACTTGTTCTTTTACTTCGTTCTTGAGATATGGCCTAACAGAACAAATAGTTGCAAGCATGTTTGTATACTCTAACCCTGTTTAGCGAACTTACCACAAACATGGAGATCTGAGTGGAAGATCCTATGGCCACTCCTAGTGAGATGTCCTGTTCAATCAAATACAAAAAAACAGGTGTTACTTGGCTGGATGTTGTTATAAGCTCTTGTAATAATTAGGACGATAAAAAAAATCTGTTGGAACACAATAATTACACTCTTCCAAGGAAAATATAACTCATACCAGTTTATCTTTCAGAGCAAACATCACTGCACTTGCATGCTCAGCTGCATTACCCACGATGGGCAAAATAATGACACTTATGAATGCTACTGGAACGTCCCACATTTCGGAAGCACCCTGCACTCATGAAGTTCAACAAAGGGATTTATATCTTGTAAGTTCAGCGTGTTCAGCGTGATTTAACTATCTTGAGTTGTAAAACTATCATTTGTATTCACTTCGATTTCAGTTAAGCATCTCATATTACCTGGATGGCATCAACGAGACACTCGGAGAGAATGGATATGAAGATTGTTAATATGGCGAGCCAGATGATAGAATCCCAAAATCCGATCGTTGCCTCCTCCTCTTCCCCTTCTTCATCATTCTGTCATCAGATCAGTATAACAAGGTAATCAGCAGGAAAACTCAACACATTCTTCCTCACACAAGGGGTGCTCTAAAGGATACGCTTGAGCTCCCGTAAACTTCTCATTCGTACTCGAAAAGAGGAGCAAAAGAAGCCGAAATCACAACTATATATGCCAGAACATTCTCCGTTCTATCTAGACTTCAATAATTGATTCTTTTGGAGGTGCTTCTAACTGACCCAACTGGTACATTTGCAAGTAAAAAAAAGGATCGATCCGTGAGTTCTGGATCTTAGCGCTTACTTCTTGCGGTTCATCATACAATTCTCTATGACTTTTGAGTTGGAAATAGAGGTAGCAGCAATACGCCAAGAGCATGATGCAACTGCTGAATCTTGAAAGGGTCAATTCTGATGAGCCGTCATGAATTTCTGTATGCGTTGCATGCAAAACTGCCGGGAAAAGTAGACCCATGACGGCCATGAGCAACAAACTTGAACTCACCACCGCCGTTGCCTGTGCGATAGGATCCAATACATGCACTCGAAGTTGTTATTTCTTCTGATAAATTTCTGTGAACAAGACCAAGTTTATAGATTCCGACAACACGGTTCAAAAGGTCCAGTGGTTTATATTATCAGAAGCCTTACTGAAGCAAGAAAACATTATCCTGTATCCTAAACTTTGTATCACATAAAATTTCTTGCATGTAAACAATGTTGTTGGATACAAATCGAGCAAAGCGTCAAACCTTAGTAAACTTCTGCTCTTTTTTGGGATGCTTCAAGCCACCGAAAAAAAAAGCACAGCCAAGAACGAGGAGCATATTTGAAAGAATCGATCCCAGAAGTGAAAGTTGGACAACGCGTATCATATTTTGACGTAGTGCTAAGATGGAGATGATCATCTCAGTGGCGTTTCCAAAAGTGGCATTTAAAAGTCCTCCAACAGTAGCGCCGGTGAAGTACGACAACTGCCTGTTGAAATCAAATGCATGAGGTAAGCATGCGACACTACAGCAGAACCTAAAAAATATGATGTCCATCAGCCTGCGCTTCTCGCCACGCAATTTTGGATGACGGAGAACTCCATCAGCTCACGAAAGAATTGATCTCTTGATTTGTGCTTCTGAACCTCTAGGTTAGTCCAGCAACTCATACTAAGAAAGTACATACTTCTTAAAAAAAAGTCCTTCCATCAAATTTATCTTCTGGGACTAAGTATACAAGTGCTTTGATAGGATCTGAATCCGTACCATCAAATGAAATCAGGATGCGCTAATTTAGTTATAAATCTAGTTACAAATGCCCGTACAATGATGGCCTAGAGCAAAGATTAAGCGTTTGATTCTTTCGAATCTGAAGAACATCCAAAAGGTGCTTACTCAGTGACGAATCCGAGGCGTTCTGCCAAGGGTGCAATTGCGAGCAAGCTTGCCAAAAAAATCCAGCCCTGCAGTATATGTCAATCCATTCATAAACGAAGATCAGCTAGTGTTGAATATCGTGCTTAAAAGTATGACCAAAGCGGTAGCAGAAGAACCTGAAGAAACCTACAGCATCATGACATTTAGATAGGACTCGGGGCATTTCAATGCCACCAGCGAGATCTGCTCGGCAGCTTGCCAACAAAAAATAAATACAATACTGCACATTTTAAAGTCTTAAGTTACACCAGAGAAAAATGCAATCATGGATCTTTGAAACCAAAAGTACTTTCTTCCGGACACTTTACAATACTTCTACAAGAGGGGTAGAAAGGGGCTTAAGTTCTTACTCGTCCTGCCTTAAGGTACACGGCCAAAAGAGTGACGGGCACCATCACCAGGAGTAAACAAATTCTTGATCCGCAAATCACTTCATGCATGCTGGTAACAAAGTGTTGAGGCAAGCCGTTCTTGAAAATTTGCCGCATAGAGTGGTGTTTATTTGAACAGCACTGCTCCACGTGACCATCCAAATCGTTACTAACGATCTCCTTAACCCTAGGAGACCGTGAGCCTGGCACCTTCTCGCCAGTTCTCAGTGAGACCATTTCGTGCTCCCCGTTCTCATTGTAGCCGTAACCTACCAACTGTGACATTCGAGAGTAAATTTTGCAGAACAATCAACTAATTCACCACTTTCAGTGAAGTAACACGCAGCAGTACGAATTCCGTGAAGATTACGAAGACAGTTGAGCTTACCTCTTGAGTGGCTTTATCATCCTCGTGAACGCTCGCAATGGCCATTTCGATACCCTGACCAGCCTCTGTGACCTCTCGGCCCATGTGTATTACAGAATTCAGAATCTGCCCGCAGTTCCGAGGAGAATTTAGTGCGATCAGCAACAAGATCCACTGGTATGAACGACCCGGATTCTAGCATTCAGACAGAATAAATGCTATACAAGGGGCGGAAATAGCAGCGCACATCAGTTTGTAAAAAAAATCACCGCTACTTCGACATGCCAGCAATTGTTCCCAACCATATTTTCTCTTTATGCCGGTTGATGAGAAGAAAATCAAAAGAGAAACTCTCGCAGTAGTTGAGAGAGCCCAATCAGGGGAGGGATAGATCAGTTGGGGCAGGCCAGAAAGCGGACGGACCTTCAACGAACGCGGTCCGTGCTTTTACAAAGCTAGATTCGCCATAGAGAATGGCACGCCTTTCCATTCACAAGGTCACATCCTTGGGCCGGGCGAGCACGTCCTCAACCAGATGACTGTAACGCGAGCAATTCAATATTGAGATCGACTGCTGCAGTCCTGTCCTGCAACGACGACAGTTTACCGCAACTCGAAAGCTGGCAATTCAGAGATCAAGATCCAAATTGACGCAGCTTCTCAGGTGATCAAGATCCTTCTATAGACAACAAAAAGTCCAGGCGGAATTCTGCAGCTCCTCGACACTCGAGCTTATGAATTACAGCAGACGGACTCTCTAAGAGCACGAAGACCCTTCTACATTTTTGCCGAAATTCGTCCCTAGTACACAATCACTTGTGCTTCCGACCGAGCGGAGCACCCACTGCCTGCCTGTTTCCACCTACAATGAATAGAACTCAGCTTCTGTACTGAACAACGAGCACGTCCGCCTCCTTGATTGTGCCACCGGTCGATCGACTCGAGCAAGCAAGCCAGACGCACTGCACTCCCCGGACTCCCCGAAACGCCACCGCACCCCAAAAAAAAACACCACCGCAGGCAGGCAACTCGATCGGCCGTGTGCCAGCGCTCCCTCCCTCGCTCTCTCCCGGTCGGCCTACTACACTCCCTACCGACGGCGAATCCTCAATCCACCACCACCACCACCACCATCACAACGCCACCGCAACTACAACGACGACCCCCGCGCACCAACACCAGCACCCGCACCCGCACCCGAGTCGACGACGACACTGCTGCAGCTGCTGCTTCCGCTGCTGCTCCGCTTCACCAAACTGTCGCACCCGCAAGAGTTAATTAATGGAGACACGAGCAGCGCCAGAGCGACACAGAGAGCGCGAGCGACACAGAGAGAGAGAGAGAGAGAGAGAGAGCAGAGACGCAGAGGGGGAGGAAGGGGGGGCGCGCCGGGAGGGGAGGGGAGGGGGGAAGAGCGACGAGTTGCAGACGAGAAGACGTAGACGACGAGGGCTCGTCTCGCCTCGGCTCCAACGACGCAGTTCGCCGCATTATTTTATATTTTCCTGCCCCTCGGTCGTCGCCGGAAGGAGGGACGGAGCGGAACGCGACCACGATCCGCTTCGCGTCGCCGGCACCGGCAGACCGGCTGCCAAGGGCTGGCCCCACACAAGACAAACGAGTGAGGCATCGTGCAGCCTGTGAGTCGTGCGCCCCTCTCCCCTTGAGGACCGGGCAGCCCAAGGGACGAGCCACAGCCCTGGCCGTGCCCTCCTTCCTCCGGACGCCGGCCAGCGAAACTTTCACGTTCCCCGGCCAGCGAAATTCGGATCTCCATGTGTATGTATGTATGCATGCAAGCCGACCGGCCCGACCGGGACCAGCCTCGCCTCGCCTGGCCATACCGATGTGTGTGTCAGTAACCACTACTCCTGCGCCGGTACGCTACGCTGCTGGGAAACCGGTGACCATCGCACCACGTGATTCGCAGTGCAGATGCCCCATCCTCCCGGTGCCGGTTTCGGAGCTCCTGTCCGCCGGTGCCGCTGGAGCTGCACTTTCCGCGAGGCCGAGGGATGTTCACGACGGTCGCTCCGCCCTTTTGCGAATTTTCTCGCGTACTGCGCTCACACGTGAGAACGACTTGGGGTCCGTTCGCGATCCGTGATTATCTATCTGCTTGGCCGTGCAGATGCGCCCTGAGCCGTCGATCTCCTCGCGGCCCCTGCCCTACCACGACCCCCCCTTTCTCAAGGGGGCCTCGTCTCCTTGTCACGAGTACGTGCCCCGAGAGCCTGGGGATTCGCCCTGCGCCTGCTGCGACCTTTCTGGCCTTTCTGCCATCGCTGGCAATCTCCTGAGTTTGTGCTCGCGTCCAGTCTCTGACTCGGGCTCGGCTCGAGTGTTTTTTGCTTCCGGCGAATGACTTAATTCGCGGTGAGGAGGAGGTTCAGGATCTGCAATTCGCGCAACTGCGAGGTCGTTCGTGCCGTGGCTGCTGGTTGTGCGTGGTGCTATAGATCCGCGGACAAAATGCTTATACTTTTAGGGGGCATGCGCATGCGAGCGCGACCGTCGGAGCGACCCTCGATCGGGTAGAACCACCGTCGAGGGACCTGCTCGTCTCCTTCCTTGTGGGGTTGGGTTGGGAGGGGGGCCCGCCCGTGAACCGCAACGCGGTTGGAAGATGCTTGCAGATTGCGACCTCACGACACTCGTCGCCACAAAACCGTCTCGTGCGACCCTGGGCAGCCGAGCTTGCGTCCCGTTCGTGGACGGGGAGGAAAAGATATGACGCGAGACGTGCGAGTGCCGGGGCAACTTTGGAATTCGTTATCATCACATCGCGCCCTCATCACCCACTTCGTATCTCACTTTCGATATGATTCGCAGGATGAAAAGAAGACTTGTCTCGGAAGCCTTTGTTGGTGATAAAGTCTCATAAAGCCTTGGGTCGCATTCATGCATTTCGCAGAAATCGGACACAGATCGAAGTTGAGAAAATGGGTCTTGTATTCACATATGAAAACCCGTGGATAGGTTCTGGACCGTCGCTTTGCTCTCCCAAGAGATGGGAGCTTCTCTTTCTAGGTCTTTGTGTCAATTCTAAAGACGGGAGAAAAATCTACTTAATGTACACTCGAGTTGCTGTTATTGGCCTGGCAGATGATCAAGGTCAACAAAATTGGATAAGAAAGCCACAGTCAAGTCGAGCAGCTACGGGTGGAGCTCGACCGTCCGATCGGCGACCGTATCTTTCAAGGAATCAAAGTCAAACCTTCGGGGCTTGACCTTCGAGTACCTGGGCTTGACGTTCGCCTCGCCCCCCCGTTGTTTCGAGTATATAGCAGACATCCCCAGCAGAAAGAGTACGACAAGGCTGGTCCACAGAGCGACCATCCAGTACCGGGGACTCAAATTGAATGGTGCAACCGATGTCAGGTTGTTCAGCATACTCCTCTTCTTCAACTTTTGGGTTAACCTCTCCTCCGCTTCGATGGTCGCTCGGTCGTAGACATCGTCGACAGCTTGAGACTCGTCGTCCGGATCGATGAGCTGCGACCCTTTGAAGGCTTGCTTGTGCCTTCCCATGATCAGTTTATCGACTGCTTTGCCCTCCGAGATCCTTTCCGCCGCACTTTTCTCTAGACCACTGCGTTTTGTATCGTCCATTAGCTTGTATTCACCCGGAGGCCGACATCCTTTCCTCTTGTGATAGAGGTAAAGAGCTTCATTCAAGGTCTTCATGCATTCGATGCTCAACCTATCTCTCCTCTCATCGTCTTCCGTGTCCCATTGCAGAGTGGAAATGTCCGGTGGAGAGGGAAACTGTCTCCAACACGATGACGTCATGTCTTCGTAATGCCATTTGTGCTTGTCCCAGCTCCAGTTGCCAATCTTAAAGTTCAACCCATAATGCAGTACCCTCACTTCTATACCTGGTGGTGGGACGTAACCTGGATAGAGCATGATCTCGTTCTTTACGATGTGCTTCAACTTCAGCTGCAAAAGAAAAATCGACGTCAATGAGTTCTCAGACAGTCGCTTGAGATGAACATTGATCACTCAGACTGACGTCTGAAACAGTTCGACCACCGTCGCGGACGACAAAACAACGCCGATTGGTAGCTCCATGTCCTCCATCCACAACATCCTTTGGCTTCAAGCTACCTTCTCCCATCAACTTAATACGACATGAAAACAAAGGAATGCGGAATCTGTCAATTCCGAGTAGCGGCAGCGCATCTTCCCACTCAAAAGCATCTATGTTTTCCAGATTGAATGAAAGTTGACTGACCTCAGCAGCACCGAAGGAATAGCCATACATCTCACTGATCCAGCCATGTCCATACACGTCTCCAGTAATTTCTGTCGCCCAGTGGGCCTTGTCTGCACGAACTTCTTCCGTCTTGTGTAGCCAAAGAGGCGCTAATAAACGTAGATCGTCTATGTGCACCACGAGAACACCGCCAACCTTCGGGCAGTATTCAGGATACCGAGTGTGTAACCGAGCAAGTTCATTGTCACAGCCTTTAAGATAACTGCATGCAACGTCTCGAGGGTCAGAAGTCGAGCGCGATCAATGATGATAATCTGACGTTTGCACTTGGAACACCTCGTGAGAACAAAGCCTTTGATTCACAGCCGAGCTTCGGTTCCCAACTTCCACAAGAATCAGAATAGCTTACTCATAGGAGACGGAGACTATATTGCCTCGCGAGGCGCCGTACTCCCACGGTGTTATAGGCCCTCGTAGAATCATGTCTGCATCCAAGATGACGACATACTCCACGTCCATCTGCACATGGTTGAGCCAATGCACAATGCTCGCTGGTTTATTGTAGGCAGGATATCTGTAGAAAGAGGCCGATTTTGTGTTACTAAGAGCCTTCGAGTCCATTCGAATGTAGAAAAACTAGGACCATGTTTGTCTAAACATGTCCAAATCGAGCATGTCCAAATCGAGGGTACCCCTATTATGACGTGCTAAGCTTTCGTGCTAAGGGTGCTAGCGTCTGCGGTTGACATGCTAAGCATGCCAAGCCCAGAAGCCCAGACTTGTCACGGAATAACGGTTGAAAACTAGTTTGTGTTTCACACCTACAGATCTCTCCAACAGACTGAAAGAAGTTTGACAAACTAGGCTACAAGTGTCTTACAGGCAGTCAACACATTAAGCGGTCTAAACTGTTGAACTGACCTTGCACGAAACATCGACAAACTCACCTGTCTCCTGTGAGGGGATGCACACTCATGGAGGGCACCACATGCGTTGGAGCCAGGTCAAGATTTTTGTAGTTCTTCAGCTTCTCTTCTGTACAACTTAGCAACCTTGTGATGAAGCCAGGCTGGCCACTTAACTGAAAACTATGGTAAAGTCCCAAAGTCTGCCAGTCGAAATAATCATTACACTCAGTTGAAAAAAGCGTATGGATTTTGGGGTGTGGAAGCTTGAGCTGCATAGGAGCCTTGATCTTTACAGCTACTTTGTCCTCTTTGGAAGAAGCTTGTAGAGATTCTTCTTTAGACTGAGTGGAACGATCATCTTCAGTAGCATTTTCCAATATCTTCAGCTTTGGACGACCTGCGGGATCAGATCCAGTTCGTAGAAAGTCCAGGTACTCGCTTTTAGGCGGCTCCGGACAGCGTCTTTTGGCATGATGCAGGACCAGACCTTCATTAATTGTGTTAATACACTCAATACTCAGCAGCAGAGCGCGACGATTGCTCTTTTTCTTACTCAACAACTCCACCTGCAAAGGTGAACAGATGAGGTTAATCTATCCTGGACATTCCAAGTCGTTTCACGTGTTATTTTGGAATCTGCACTACCTCAGCGGGATGCAAATGCTTTCACTTCTGGTTGGCATATATAATTATCGGACCCCCAGGAAGAAAGTGAACTTAAACATGTAGCTCCAGTGATAGCTAAGAAGTCGAAACTGATCTAAGTACAAGGCCAACGGACTACTCATGATATACGAACGATAGATATGAACATTATCAATCTCAACGACTTCTGTCTAACAGGTTATGAGAGATTCACCTGTTCGGGGTAAGGAGGAGCAGGGAAGAGCTTGTTGCACTCGTAAACAATAGCGTTAGTCAAGTGCTCGGCCTTATCGAAGTGCCAGCTGCTCACATTGAACCTCAACCCATAGTGCATGATGAAAGGTTCTATGCCATCCGCTGGAATATAGCCGGGGTATATCATCAGGTCGTCGTTGATCTTATGTCGTAACCCAACCTTACGCCAAGACCACCAAGACACACATCAGACTAACGTACTCAGTCTATTGCAAAACTCAAAGTGCGGCAACGACGTGCCTCGTAGACTGTTTACCAGAGAGCTTACTGCAGTGAGCATAACCGTATTGTCTTCCAACGAGTGTCTGAAAATTTTCAGTACCTTATGCATCCAACCTTCTGGAATGACACACTCCAGGCTTGAGCTTAGTGTCGACTCAGACTAACGCATGACAGAGGACATACAAGCTTCTCTACCTATTGATAAGAAGACGCTATAGTATTCAGTCTTCAGTTTTTGAGATATACCTCTGCGGCTCCAAAAGAATAACCGTACATTTCACTGATCCAGCCACTCGAATATATGTCACCAGTGTACTTTTGAGCCCAGTGATCCTTGTCGGCTCGCACCTCTTCTGTCTTTGAAAGCCAAAGGGGTGCCATTGCTCGCAGATCATCTATGTGCATCACGATAAAACCTCCAACTTTGTCGCAAAACTCAGGATGTGTAGTATGTATCTGAGCCAGTTCATTGTCGCAACCGACAAGATAACTGGCAGCCACAGTAAGAAAAATAAAAAGAGGGTCAGCATAGACACAACACCGCAAATGTTTTAGCGAGGAATCTGAGAATAAAGATCATTCCCAGTACAGACTGTTCCCTGCATTTATTTTGAAGCTTAAAAAATTAAAATAAATTCAGCCCTAGATTTAAGAGCGTACCCGTAAGAAGCAGAAACAGGTTTCCCCTTCTCTGCTCCCACTTCCCAGGGAGTAATTGGATGTCTCATGACCATGTCGGCATCCAAAATCACGACCCAATCGACATGCTTTGCTTCTTCAGAAGTTTTCAGCCAGTGCACAACTCCAGCAGGCTTGTTGATAGCTGGATACCTGTCGCGCCCCGAGAAACCACACGGGTTCAATCAGCAGCGAGAGTGGGAAAGACCTAGGGCTTCAACTTGGACCCTTTGAATCAGTTGCGACGCTCAAGCAGCCTTGATTGTTAGAAAGGACCAATGCGTACAACATCCAACATTCGACATTGGGGCTAATCTTTTGCACTTGAGAATCTGCACCTCAGCTACGACCAACGGCTACAAAATTTGGTAAAGGCAAAAAGGTTCTCTTGAGGATCGCCTCAAGAGAACCACCCCGACGACAAGCGGAGATGAAATGATAGCCTCACGATAACGTACTAAAATGTACGCAAGTTTGAGCCAATAATAAGCCAATCTGCCCACGCGACTGCTACGAAATCACTAGCAAAGACGGAAATCTAATTCTTGACAAACATTCTCACAACATTTCCTAGATGGCTCTCGGCCTCACCAGTCCCCTGTTACAGGATGCTTGCTCATTGACGGCACTTTAAGAGTGGGAGCCAGATCCAGGCCCTTGTATTTGACCAATTCTTTCTCGGTGCAGCTTAGAAGACGAGTGATTGGTCCAGGTTGTGCACTTTTCCTAAGACTGTGCATCAAACCAACAGTCTGCCAGTCAAAGTAATCCTTGCACTCCACCGAGAACAGAGTGTGCATTCTCCATGGGGCGTTCGGTATCTCTTGCAGCTCAGATGTCAATTCCGACAGCTTGTCACCCGAGACGACACTAACCAGTCCAACTGCAATGTGCATCGCTATCAATGCAAGGAAGCCGAAAGCCGGCAATCTCCTGGCCATGATGATGCCCAGATCCACGCAGGCCATAGGAGAGAAGCCAAGACGAGAAGAACGTTCAGAAACTGAGACAGATGCTCCTCACAAGCATGTGCATACACAGAACCTAGATGTCTCAAACTGGCTCGAACATTGGCTCCAGCATTGACTGACGGTCAGTCACATCGAGCTGATGACAGACATGGTCAACGCAAGGCAAAGCGACGCCATCAATAGTGCTTCCCTCAATCAATCCATGCTGCTTCCGTCCCGTGTGCAGCACCCACTGCACTCCTCCTCTCCTTCCACGTCGAAAATACCTTCCCTCCATCCGCAACCGGCAAATCGTCCAGCGCAATCTCTCATTTCAGCGCCTTCCAAGATCCGCCCTTCATTCCACCTAATGTCCTCTCTCTCTCTCTCTCTCTCTCTCTCTCTCTCGCTCGCTCGCTCGCGCGTCTGCTCAATCAATGCAGAGGCACGAAGCTCTGCGACTCCTGATCTCTCCAGATGATCCGAAGAAGAAGCGGAATGAATGAATGTCGCCGCCACCGTCCCCGGGTCTGCTCTGTCTGTCTGGCTGCTCTGCAATTCCCTCTGCGATCAGATCAGAGCTCTCGGCGCAACTAGCCCAGAGCCCCTGCTGCTGCCATCGAGCTCTCGCAGGGGACGGGGACGCGGAGCGGGACTCCGCACTCTTCGGCGCCAAACCCGGCCCTTCTTTATCTGCTCTCTATGCCCGGTCGCGACAAAGGGTACAATACGGGGAGGGCCAACGAGCCCATCGTGCGGTTCTGCGAGCGATGCAAATCGAGGAGACCCTCCAGGCCATACGATCCACTCCAATCCACTCCTACAATATTGCTAGTCTAACATGATGGCCCTATTATTGCCACAATATTGCCATACTACGAATTTTCCCCCACCACGATGGATGCATCATGATAATATATAGATAATGATTTCTAGTTTATAGAATAACCACAACTTTTACTTCCTTCTATATCTATAGCGTTTGGATACCTTTGCCACTACTGTGCCACCCAACGCCCAGAAGATAAAATAACAGTAAAATCCAAGACTGTACAATAATTATTATATGTAATGAATCACATGTAATTCACGTTACCTTAAACTCCCGAACCAAGTATACCGAACCTTAACCGAAGTGCGGCCTCGACTGATCGGAGGTGTCCCTCCACGGGACAAGTCAGAGGCATAATCTTCGAGGACATCGATTGGAACTCCCCTCAGATGCGTCCGTTCGGATACTCCGTGATGAAGCGCGAGACCCGAGTCACTGCAGCCGCAAGTACGTACGCGGGGACGGGTAAGTGTCCTGAGGACTCGGTCCGTGAAGAACCAGAACCCGGTAGCCGGGACGGCCCCACGCACGCGTGCGTGCGAGGGCTGTCTGTCTGTATGTTCTGTACAATCTGTACATATTGTCTGCCGCTGACATGGTCTCGCGCGACGTAATTCCGAATTCGTGATCTATGGACGGCTGGACCGCGATCGGCAACGAGGATGTCACTTGCACTCCGCCCTTCCCCCCGCCCCGGCTTCCCGGTGTACTTGTAGTTGCAGGTATCCGGTACAGTGAGCCGGTGACTGGAGTTAGCACAGGTAAGGTACTATTAGTATTTGCTCACCTTTCAGAATGTTAAACGCAAATACAGTGCTCGTTTAGTTCCAGAGTTAACTCGAGCAGACAAGACACAGCGAGTCACCGGACGTCGAGCACCTTAGGCTACCGCTGCAGAGTCCGAGCCTTGGTTGCTTTGTCAATAGGCAATCCCAGCTCCTAGGTGCATATTCTGCTCTATGTCTATATTTTTATATGTTTAAAATATTGCAGGGAATTTTTTGGATTTAACGAATTCTCTACTATTCAAAAATGATCATAGAAGAAAAACATTACAACACAGGTCTTCATTGAAAAAAATTGTCAACTCCATCCTATCGGGTTTCTTCGTTTCTATTGTCTCCCTCCCCCGAGAGGCTCTCACAGCGTGTCGAAACCCAAACCCTCTGGAATATGAACGACAGCTTGACTGTTACCAGATCTACAGGTCACGTTCCACGGCCTGGCAACTTTACGGGTAGTCTCGAAGATCCCACATCTGAAGGCAGGATCGATCAATTTTCAGTACGATTGATTTGACGGGTCCTCGGTCCTTCGCGCTCTATAATTCGTTTCTCGGTGTTCATCGTCTTTGTACAACCGTCGAGCGTTGACTTTTCGAAAAAAGTCAGCATTCCCGTCCATGCCTCACGCACATTATCTCACTGCAATGGGGAGGACGTACTAGATACAGTTGGAAACCGTATACTCTGTATGGTAATTCTGTCAGCATGCTAGCCTGTACTAAGATCGCCCAGACTCTGGTCATGGAAGACATCTTATCATTTACCTTCCACCAGTCATCGAGTCTCCAAGTCTGCGGCAAGAGACAACATAGCACCAGTTTCTGACTTAATTGTTGTTGCGAACTCACGTCTGTCGAATACCAACAATAAAAGATTCAGTTCACAAGATTGAACAGAAGTCCCGGTATTTAAATTGAAATATTTAAGAGTGAATGGATAATAAAGGTTGCACACACATCTTTGTATCATTATCCAAATTTTCAGAATATCCAAATATTTAAAATTTTGTAAGATAAATAATAAGAAATATAAATTAACAAATAAAAAATATATGGATAATTCCAATAACATTGAGAACTAAAAAATATATTTAAAAAAATACAGTGACGAAATATTCAAATAACCAACACGATACAAAATAACATGAATTATCCTAAGATATTAGTATTTTATCCATAAAAAAACGATAATTTATTCTAAGTTTTGTCACAAAAGATGCAATGTATAGCGTAGAAACCAAAATATTTAATTCAAATCCAACGATCATCTTAATTATTTATAATTAGAATCCAAAATTACTCTTTAACTAAAATTAACCTCAACAAAATGTAAATTTCTTATTCAAATAATTCTCAGAAATTCAACATAAATATGTTATTAAAAATTTGCTAAAATGATTGTTATCTTCTACATTGAATAGCTTATGGGGATGTTTAAATTGAATTATTCTAGACCGCGTCACCTGAATTAGGTAAATGTATGTTTTTGTGACTAAATTAATCAATTGCGTAGTGATACAACATTCCACTTGGATGATGACTTGGACAATCCATCTCAAACTTGTATCTCTTTGTGCAATGATTGGAAAGTTGTAATGTTCATGGAAGAATTTTAAAGATATTGATGTTTATTATGATCATCGGGTTGTGTATCTAGATCCAAATCATTGAGACTAAAAAACCTTCAATAATGCTTCCGCATTGTATTTGAGTCGAGAAAAGAAGGTTGGATCTAATAGCAAGGATACAACTACAATTTTCTCTATTACAATAATATTGAAAATCGTTTTCACAATCAACATGGTGATCAATAGGCTCCATGTCAAATTCTCAAATTTTATTTTTAGCGCATTTCTTTTTCTCATGATGTTTGATTTTATTCAAGAAGTACATCAAAATGCATTTGTCATCATCGTCTTTGAACTTAGAGCAAATAGTAGTTTATAATATCAAAAATTACATTGTGGATATTTGTAACACTAAAGCTTAGAGAAATGTTCACTCAAAGATAAAAATGTAAACTTTGAATATGAAAGATAACAACAATGGTTATAGTCTTCCTTATATAGCTCTTACCAATAAATACAAAAAGATAAGATATCATTTCCATCATTCATTCCATTCCTATTGGATGAATGACGTGGCGGATAACCTTAACAAGCACACGGATTACTGATGTCACGTTCTCAACTATCACACTCAATTCTTACCAAACAAACACATTGATCGCTAGCGTGACAACTTTAACTAGTGCACGCTAAAGTAACTATAATTTCATCATGAATAATCTCTACTTTAGTTTTAACTAACTAAAAGATGGTTACAAACCTACTTCCTTTTAAGACGCAACTTCCTCGTTGCACGTCCGTTCAAATTTTTGAATTATCAACGGTGCATTAGCTAGATTTTTAGTTGGTTTTCAAGTTGATTCATATGATGGATATCTTTTACATTGAACCAAATCCTCAACCTTGGGATACTTATAGCCTTGAGGATATTTTTTTAAGGATATTTTCTACTTCGAAGTACTCTTCGCTAGCTATCAAGATTGGTAAAGTAGGTAACACTGGTTGAATTTTGAATTGTTTTGATCATTGAATATGTTTTTGCAATCGTTATACATGAAATACATGATGTATTTTTATATGCGACAGAAGCTTCAACTTGTATGACACTTCACCAACACATTTCAATATCACGAAATGACTAATGAATCCAGAATTAAACTTTGATATTCCTACAAGAGACAAAGTTATTGTAGATAGCCAAATTTGATCTTCAACTTGAAAAACTAACTCTCGACGATGAGCATTAGTATACTGTTTTTGTTGATTCTGAGCAATCAACAACTTCCACTTTGCTTGGTGTGGACCTTGATGTATATGTTCCACAAACTTGTTGAAAATTACTTTTTTTGAACATTTCATTAAAATTGATGGAGCATTGGGTTGAACACCGTACGTGAGATAAAATGAAAACACCCTTGTGGTTTGCATTTACAAAAATATTATATGCAAATTTCACAAGAGTCAAGAGAGTATAACACTCTTATTGCTACTCTAATGTGAATGCTTGTAGCATGTACTCTATAATTCTATTAGCTTTCTCTGTTTCATCATTAGTTTGAGTATGATAAGCGGTTAACATTGCTAATTTGGTTTTGAAAAACCTATTTTTTTTCCAAAACAAACTATTGAAATGAGTACAATCTGTATTTCTATCTATCTACTATTTTTGTGGTTGGTCTCATGTGAATCATTTTGCTCAATTTGTGTACACAAATCACCATTGTATCATTTTCTAACAAAGTTTTTGATAATTCATATACGAGATACATAATGACATGTTTTCATTGTTGTTTGAAAATTATTATTCCCTAACAGCGATGGGAACATGTCACAAAGAGGCTGTAATAAACCAATTGCTTTTTGATTACTTAACTTGTTTTGTTTACAAACAACACAACTAAAAACAACCTAAAACATAAGCAACCACGTAGTTCTGTAGTTTGAGCCAAAAGTAAAATCGTTGGATGCTTTTCAATATCTATTCCACTCCCACATGGCCTGCAATGGCTGTATCATGATTTTTTGATAAAATCATTGTGCGGAATTCTTGATCTTGCAAAAATCTATATATTTCGTTATTAGAACGTCAAACCTCTAGTCTTCTCTGCACTTCCAACTTGTAGTGTACTCACAATCTCTTCATCCTCCTTTGTGGCATGTGTCATCTTGCTCCATAAATCGGCTTGAATCTTCACTTCTGCAACATGATTCAAACAAATCATGTGTGTGAGAGCATCCACAAGTTGCTTCTGGCCCTCCACGTACACAAGCTTCATGTTGAAGCATGACGTCACTCTACCCATTAAATTTGTTGTTTATATATATACTTCTGAGTTTCCAAATTAATCAAGGATTTATGATCAGTTTTCATCACAAACCCCTTATCATCTTAATGATTCCAGTGTTTTGTTGCCAAAACAATGACTAATTCCTCTTGTTCTATTCTGTGATAATTTTGTTTTGTTGCCACCA